CCACAACTAGCCTGAAGAACAAAATGACAGCAACTTGTCTGTTCCCCTTCCCCCAATTCCCCAGCACTGTTCCCATCCCCCCAATTCCCTAATAAAAATCTTTAAAAAAAAAAAAATTACGTCACCTGGGGGTGAGGGAGCTGTAGTGTTAAAAAAAAACAAATACATCTAATTTGAAAAATCTAGAAATATATGTTGTCCTGTTTTTAAATAAAGGTTGGCCTTAAACATGAATTTATGTTTTTGTAGACTGTTTTTGGTTTGCTTTTGTTATTTCATTTTTCTATTGACCCATAACTACTTATAACCAGTATAGCGCATACAGCGTGAAGCAAAATATATGAATGATTTTTATATTAATAATCTTTTCCTAGCTCAGATATTTTCCTGCCATTGCTCAAAAAATTATTCTGTCAGCCCCCACTCTCTGCTTTATTTACCTAGAATATTTTATTTTTGCCTTGGAAGAATATAAACAAGTAAATCATACCAGAAAATGCAAGAAATTAAATCAATTAATGGACGTCGTTCACTGCTAACTAAAGTGCACAATCTGATTCTCCCCTCTAACTATCATTACCCTACACTTTGACAATGAAAAGAAAAAATTTACCTGTCACCCAGCACCATCTTCCCTAGTCCAGTATTCTATCTGGCTCATGCTAACATTTGGCTCAAGTATCAAGGAAGTATAAAACAGTCTGTAGAAACCTACCGCTTCCTTTTGAATTTGCAGAGGGAAATCATGGTGCCTGACGTTGGTTCTGCCAGTTCCCTCTTTGTCCTCAGCTTTATTCACGAGTCTCTATTTTAATAGGCACCAGATTTAGTGTGAATTAGATTCATGTTGAAGGTTTGATACAAATGCAGCCTTTCAAACCCTAATCCCAAAGATTCAGCAACTCTGGAACAGGATCCAGGAATCAGCATTCTAATCCTGCACCCCAAGTTATTCTAACACTGATCTGAGTACCAAACCTATGGGGAGGGGAGAGTGATGCAGATAAAAGTTACGACATTTCTACAAAAATGTGAGGGGCAAGATAAGAGTGGACCATTATCTCTCACCAGTAAACCCATGAGGTCACGTTCCTCCTCTATGCTTTAGTTCCACTTTGCTGAAGAACAGTCTATCCTGCACTGGGGGCTACGGTGTATGCACCAATAGAAAATTAGACTCACTAGTTCTATAGCATTGTTTTCCATGAGGCCTCCTTTGCACATCTGAAGAGACACACAATGTCAGTCTGGCCATTTATTTTATCCATTGCACTTGAGAATTATTCATGTACCATATGGAGATTTGGCTCATGGTGAAGTTGTGGGGGGAAATTCCATTCCATCATGCTTCCCAGAGCTCTTTGGAGAGTTAACTGTGAAACAAATGAAGCAGTTCTAATTTAGGTTGTGGAAACCATGACTTTTCTTCTTTGCTTTTATTTTTGTTTTTACAATATGTGGTCTCCTATGAAGAATTACAATGAGGGATGGAAGGCGGGGAGGGGGACTGGTCAGGTAGATCTGGTCTTTTTATGAGCTGTTGAGTTGAGGATCTAAAATGTTTTCAAGGAATCTGCCAGGATTCCAAACCCAGCTACTGAAAATTTCAAAAGCTCTTTGAAAAATTCAGACTCATACTGTGCTGAGTTAAATATTTTAACAGCAACCTGTCTTGTTACTGTATACAAGACATAGTAACATCTTGTGTATCTAGGAATAAGGCATCAAAAAAAATAATATGACAGATCACTAACTCAACCTAAAGCTTAAATAAATTTAAAACGAAGAGGGGGAAAAGCGGAATTCATCTGTTTGGATAAAAAGCTTTCTATAATAGGTTAGATAGTCAAATCTATTTTCTACAACATAGAACTGCACTTCTAAAAATATGTTTGAGAAAATGAAGACACAAAGCCACCCCTTTTAAACTCCCATAAAACTGGCTGATGCAACAAGAGTGCACAAGGAACAAGAAAGTGCATATTCCCAACCATGGAAAGAACCTGCTTATTCCTCAGCTTCTAAACCATTTCGATCCTTCTCTGGACTCTGTCATTTTCTATCATTTGTGGCAAGAACCTAGGGCCTATGGCCAAATCTGCATTTTTATCAATAATCACAAAAGTCCCTTAGAATGACTAGCCTTCCACACGGGTCTCAATTTTGGTTCCTTTGCAATGCCAGGGAAATCACAAACCTCACCAGGAACTCTCACTGATAAGGAGAAAACGTCATGAACTGAGTTTCTTGGCACCTGGCCACGGACCATTCAACACACCCACTCATGAGGTCCTGGCTCTGCCATCTTCAATTCTGAGAAGGAGAAAGAACCAACAGCCAGGACAAAGCTGAGAAGGATAACAGAAATTCTAAATTGTGCTGATCTTCTGCTGTACAGCCTAACTAGCTCTGTTATTTCAGTATGTTAAAAATATGTAAATTAAGGGCTCCTAGGAGTTGGGGGTTAGAGATGGGGGAGAAATTTGGAACATAAGACAAACAATAGCTAATGACTAAGAAAGGAAAGCCTTTCCTCTCTCCTCAGAAAGATTGCTTTGTAAGATGCAATAATATTTTTTTAAAATATGCTTCATGTTTTCAGTAAGATTTCAAAGACATTCTTTAAAATAAGCTAAAAAAAATATATATATATATAGTACTACGAAAAGATTGTTACAATAAAATCACAATAAAAAATAAAAAGTATAATGATAAGCAATAATACATAGCAGACCTGATGGTCCAGAAAAATTGAATTAGTGATACTCATGACAAATGAAGAGAAACCACATGAGAATTCAAGGGAGATGAAAACTGATTAAAAAGATAAGAGATAGGAAAGAAGGACTCGAGAAGGCTGGTTATAGAGATGCAACCCATTAATAATAGTCATAAATTTAAGTAAACTGAGGAAATGATGAATTGACAATATGTATAATATTAAAAATGGATGCATATTAACAATGTCTAGACTTGAAGAAAGCCCCTATATTTGAGATTAAGGAAAATAAACAAAATCAATGCCAAGGTCATCCTTGTCATATTTTTAAAGAGCATTAGTAAATAGTAAAGAATCATCATTTTGACCCTAAGTCTATCTTCTCTCCCCAAAAGCTATCACTCTACCAAAGTAGATTACCTAGAAACAAACACATACGTACATACATAGCTAGCGAAAAGCAGAAGGGAGAGCTAGCATCACCTTCTAGGGAAAAGCTGTGAAAGAGCATTATGTTCAGTTAATTCTAAAATTTACATGTGACGTTGACCAAAACAGTGTCAGTTCTGCTGGGCCTTACAAACTATATCATAAGATAGAATTTCTACAGATCTTATTAAAAGATGTTCTCCCAATTTCAGGGAGATGAATTATTAGCCATTAAGAATAGCAAAATTGTGCTTAAAAATATTTTTCAGGGAACAGTGAAATTTGCTAAATATAAAAAGATACTTTTAAAAAATATAAATTACAAATAAAAGAAGTTTGATTCTAATGAGTCTAAATGCTTGTGTAAACTAAAGTAAATAAAATACAATATTAGACAATGTATTTTAAAACAAGAATTAAATTTTAACAAGATTATCAAACATCAAATACAGATTAATAGAGAACAGGGAAGTGGCGTTGAAAAGAAGTCAAAACACCCAATTTTCATTCCTCTCTAAAAGAGGGTTAAATTATTTTGGTTTGATAATTAAATTATTTTTTTAAAAATGGGTAATACTTTAAGATAACATTTAGTGGGCTTTTTACCTTCCATACATTTAAAGATATTAAAACCAATCAATAATAATATATTTAAAAACACAAAGTTAGAATAGAATCATTAGGAACACAAAAACAGAATGCAATATCTAAAATGACAATAACAACAGGTTTATAATTAGAATAAAAACAAAAACTTTTTTTTCATAGAACATTTAAAAATGTTCAAGATGCTTCCACATGAAAATATAGGCAAAAATTTATTAGTCAGCATAAAAGAAAATACAAGAATGCTGAAAATATTAATAATATCACATAAAATTTAAGGAATTACAATTAAAGTTATGGGATATTGATTTTAAAATCAGTAGAAATACCAATTAGTAGAAAACATCCACAAACCATTACCATTATGCCATACATTGAGAAATTTAAGAAAAAGAGAGAATTTGAACTAACAAAATACAACCTATATGTACAAAATTAGATGTTAGATACCATTCTGTTTCCTATAAAAAAAGGATAAATCTTTATAAGAAATCA